CCATGCCGTTCCCCAATGTGCAGTGGGAACGCCACGAAAGGATCAAATGTAAAGGCATTCTTCCAGCTTTTGTTCACTCGGTTACATGATATACTCAGCAGCAGATCTCGAACCCAAACAGTGAAAAGTCAAATGGTATATAAATACAGTACTCGATACATACGGTACAGTTACAACAGCGAAAACCACAAGCCAAGCAGAACGTAAACCATATATACAGTCTATGTTAAATAGACAACAACGCCCCTGACCAGCCCCCATCACCCATCATAACAATGCAACTCTCCACCATCACATTTGTCTATGCCAAAAAACCTCATATATACGCAGACTAACATTCTATCCAACGTGCATGAAAACCGACCAAGAACTGAATACATAACCAGACAGAACCCTTTACTAAGGTGTTCTTATGTCATGTAGTACTTGGGACCCTCACCACCCTGAGGAACCTGCCAGTTGATATCCTGGTTAGGGGCCTTGATGTCGCAGGTCTTGCAGTGAATGCAGCTGTTCATCTTGTTAGCACTTCTCCGTTACTCTCAATTCCCGGAAAAGGGGTACTCACTTCTGCGCGTTAATCTGGAACCTGACTCCCTCCTCCTTGCTCGCATCCTCAACATACTCATACACACCAGCAGGGCAGAACCTGTTCTCGAGGCCCTTGTACTTGGGATAGGTCTCCTTGGTATGCTGATCCCAGTCCTTAACCTGGAGATGCACCGGCTGGTCCTCCTCATGGTTGGTGCCCGTGCGCGAGACAGAGGTCAAGATATCGAAAGTGATCTTGCCGTCAGGCTTGGGATACTCGATCTTCTCGCACTCGTCGGCGGCCTTGGTGGCCTCGTGGTCACGCACCTTGTGCTTGAACGTCCAGGGCACGCGGCCCTTCAACAAAAAGGCGTCGATACCGGAGTACATGATGCCGCCGTAAAGGCCGAGGGGCGAGTGGAACGAGGGACGCATGTTGCGGACCTCCTTGAGCTCCTGCCAGATGGACGAGTTGCGGAGGGAATCCTCGTACGAGTAGAGGAAGACGGAGCCGGAGTCGTTGGTGTCCTGTAGTGCTTCCCAGGCCGCATTGGCCGCGAGCATGCCGGACTTCATGGCGTTGTGAGTGCCCTTGACCTTGGGCACGTTGACGAAGCCGGCCGTGTCGCCGATCAAAGCGCCACCGGGGAAGGCAACCTTGGGGATGGACTGGAAACCACCCTCGATCAGGGCGCGGGCGCCGTAGGAGATGCACTTGCCGCCTTCGAGGAACTGACGGTAGAAGGGGTGCTGCTTCATCTTCTGGAACTCGCCGTAGGGGGAGAGCCACGGGTTGGGGTAGTCGAGGGCGGTGACGAGACCGATAGACACCAGGTTGTCGCCGAAGTGGTACATCCAGGCGCCGCCATAGGTGTTGGCGGGCAGCGGGTAGCCCATGGAGTGGAAGATCTCGCCCTTCCTGAACTTCTCGGGCTGGATCTCCCAGACCTCCTTGACGCCAAGGCCGTAGGTCTGCGGCTGGCTGTCGCGGCGCAGGTCAAACTTCTTGATGACCTGCTTGGAGAGGGAGCCGTGGCAGCCCTCACCGAAGAGGGTGACGCGGGCGTGGAACTCCATGCCGCGCTCGAAACGGTCTGTGGGCTTGCCGCTGCGGCTGATACCGAGATCGTTGGTGGCGACGCCCTTGACAGAGCCGTCGGGCTTGTAGAGAACCTCGGAGGCAGCGAAGCCGGGGTAGACCTCGACGCCGACCTCCTCAGCGCGCTCGCCCAGCCACTTTGTGAACTCGGAGAGAGAAACGATGTAGTTGCCCTTGTTGTGCATCTGCGGCGGGGTGGGAACCCAGAAGGCACGCTTCTCGGTCAGGAAGCGCATGGTGTCGCCGCCAGCGGGGGTGGCGCCGGTGAAGCGGTTGGGGTTCTCCTCGTCGAGCCAGTCGGGGATGAGCTCCTTGATGCCGGAGGGCTCGATAACGGCACCAGACAGGGTGTGGGCGCCAATCTCGCCGGCCTTCTCGAGAAGTAGGACACGGAACTCGTCATTGCCGGCCTCGTTGGCGAGCTGCTTCAGGCGAATGGCAGCAGCAAGACCGGCGGGACCACCACCAACAATGCACACGTCGACCTCATCGCTCTCGCGCTCGATGCTGTTGGGGTCGAAGGACTCGTCGGCGGCATCAGCGAAACGGCGTTGGGTTGTCGTCGAGAGGGCGGCTTGTTGTCGTGTCCTTGTAAGAGGGTTGAAAGACTGGCGGGCGACGTTGGGTCTGCGAGTGGATCGCGAAGCGGGGGAGATGTTATTGAGGGTGGGTGTCGAGAGGGTCCTCAGACCGCGGGTGGTCTGTACCGAGGTGGTGCCGGCAGAACCAGCCCGCCTGTAGAGGCACGACGTGATGCGTGCGGAGGTCGACATTGTGTGTATTACTGGTGTATGGGCGTCGGGTCCGTGTGTCGTTTGCCCGGCCGGTTGGATGGTTGCTCGTTCGCTGGGCCTGGATATATCGGGGGAACAGGCGGAGGAATAAGTTGGGGAGAGAGGGGGAAGAGTGTGGTGACTGTACGAGTCCGAGGGCGAGGGTGAGGAGGAGTTGTGTGGAGTAAACAAACAAATCTAGTACAAAGGCGAAGACATGATGGTAAGTCACATTATATACTTTCCCAAGATAGAATAGAATAGATAGAAGTCGACGATAAGGAGGAACTAAAGCAAGGGATCAGATGCGCACCTGACTGACTGTTAGGTACCGAGAAGAGAGAAACCAATTCGTTCGCAAGAAATATGCTCACTTCGAAATCCAGAGCCACACAGAGGAACCAAGAGAAAATTGTAAAAAGGACCAGGACTTTCTTGAGGAAAATAAAAACACGGGTGGGCGGGAGCGATCAAAATCCCGTCTTGGACCGAGACCTTGGCGACGACACCGGCGATGCTAGTCACAGCCTCAGAAAGACCCGACTTTGTAGCGTCAAGGTCGGCCTTGGTGCAATTGAGTTACAAGGAGTCCACTGTAACAAGTTCACTTTCTGCCTATGGCATTCAACTTTCCCCGCAGAGTCGTGAATTTCTGCCCGTCTACACTACGATTCGGCGGGGATCTCCAACTCCAACCAAAAGATCCACGGGACAAGAAGCGATCCAGGACCGGGCGAACTCGCAATGACGTCCCTCCCTTGTTCCGACCAATGGAACCACGACAATTTGAAAATGCGGTCTGTGCGGCTCCGGTACAGAGATTGAATCGTGCCTGTTCCTGTGATCTTACCCCACCATTTGACTCTTTCCTTTTTGGAAGGGGGACAAGGAACTTTAATACCCGACGCGCCGAGGGTAGCCGAACAAGCTTCTGTCATTGTTCGCTACGCTATCTTAACAGGTTTTGGTGACAAGTAGGCAGTAATCTGTTAGCGAGTTAGAGACACCGCAATGCGACCCGGGGTAACGGCGCTCATGTTCCCGTGTTTCATGGCTTTGAGGGTTTGGAATTCAAGACAATAAATTCAGCACTGTGCTTTGCCGGAAATGTGGTAAAGCCATTGGAGTCCAAGTCTGGAGCAGTGGGTAAAAAGGGGTGCACGAGGTGTTGGTTGGTGATGCAGTTGGTGTCTGGGGTCCGGGGCTGAACCTGGGGCACTTCTGGGGCACTCTGGGGTAAAGGAAGTTGGAGAGACCGAGGGAGTGAGGAGACGGAACTGGAGAGACTGGGAAGTGACGTTTAACACAGACTTCAGGTTGTTTTTCAACCCCCCTTTATCCGGGTAGAGTGGGTGTACGTACTGGTACTTCATGATGGGTGCAAATCGAGGCTGTTGATTAGAAAGGACCAGCCCGTTCAGACAGCAAAGTTTGTGGCGGATGGCTGAACTCAGTATCTCATGAACGGTGGCAAGAGGCCAATGGCGCGATATATATATATATATACATATTATCCGTGGTTCAGTTGCAACCTCGAGGCTGAGTATAGAGGCGGGTACCACGAGCGGCTCTGGTGGTTGCGCAGGAGAAGTTGCCAATGAGAAGAAATGGCCGAACGACACCTGTTACACACGGAGAGCTGTCTAGGGTAGTAGAGGAACAAGTGAGCCCATACGTTGTATGGGTGAACGAAAGATACATCTCAGGCTTTCTGTCAAGACCCACCATGGGAATTGCGGTACACTCGACGGGAAGGAAGCCCCAACGGCGGCCCCCTGATTGGGAAATAGCAAAGGGATGGAAGCTACCTATTCACAAGGGAAGGAGCACCGGAAGATATCCAGAAGTACAGGAAGGAATATATACATAGACATCAGCAAGGAAGCCAGAGTCAGAGTGGCCGACAGGAACCATGGCCGGCCACGAGATCCTTAGCCTTTTTAAGCTGGATTTTCCCGGACCTTTGTAGTCTTCTCCTCTCCTCATCATCTCCTCACACTTCCTTGATCGCTTCAGTTGTTCACACATGCCCTTTCGCCTGACCCTTTCGAACTGCTGTTGTCTACGCCCATGGTGGATATCAAGTCATTCGGCCCCTTCACAGCGAGACTAGAGCTCTTATGTACAGCTCTTCAATATCCATGGTATCCAGACTATAAACACTTTCTTCTCTAAAAAGGTATGTCCAAGAAAAAACAAAACCAACAACGCTGTTCTTTCAACTTTTGTCTTCGTCAGGCATGTCTCGTCATGTCAAAGTCCAGTCAGTCATGTCGTTATCATGTCATAAGACATCATCACCATTTCCGTCTCTTTCACCATCTTTCCTCCTCTTCATCTTCTTGCACCCTTCCACTTCTCTTCTTCCTCTGCCTCCACATTATCAATGGTATATCCTCCACCCCGTTTTCATCTGCATCATCAGCCTTCACCTTCCCCTTTCCTTTATCCCCTTTAGCTACCTCTTCCTGCCGCCGCCCCTTCCCCATCCCCATCCCCATCCCATTCTCACCCTTAGGGGCAACCTCCCCCTCAATCACCACAGGCATCACCTGTCTTCCCCAACCCTTAACAGTCTCCCACTCCTCCGCCGCTAGTCAATAATCATGTTTGTTAACATCCGGAATCTGATGCCTCTCATGCCTCGCATTCATCACGTCCGCCCAAAAGTCATAGGACAACTCCTTCTGTCTGCGTGCCCTCTCCTCCTCCCTCATGCGCTTCCTCGTCATCCTCTTCCTCTCCTTGCGCATCTTATTTCTCTCGGGCTCAATCTTTCTGGCTTCCACTCTGATCGCTCGATACCCCTGCCTTATTTTCCCCGTGGTGGCCTTGAAGATATTCTTGCATATCCCTTGCACGCGCGACGAGAAAGCGGCGATCAAGGAGGTGAAGATGAGGAAGAAGGAGACAGGCAGGGCGATGGCGCCTATGTAACCTAGGGTTGGGATAGTGGAGGGTTCGTAGTTGGGGTCTTCGTCAGGGAGGCCATTGTCTTCGTGCCATTCGCGCGTGTTCATACCAAAGATACCGGTGAAGAAGGACAAGGGAAGGAAGATGACGGTGAAGGTGGTGAAGATCATGACGGAGAGATTTTGCGAGGCGGCAAGCTCGGTTTGCAGGCGCGACCATCGGACTTCGTCGACCTGGGCTTGGCGTTGGGCCATTTCGAGCATTTTTTCGTACTGGCCAAACAGTCAGTCTCAGAAGACGGAGGGAAATGGTGAGTGAAAACTTACATCCTTCTTGGTAGTCTCTACCCTCTTTACCATTTCGCCCGTCAGCTGCTTATACTCGGTCAAATACTCCATCGCCTTGTCGAGATATCCCTGGCCGTTCTTGGTGATCTCCTTCAAGCTCGGATTGTTGTAGATTTCCTTGAGCTGGTTGACCACTCCCTCCTGGGTTTCGAACAAGCGGAGAAGCGTTGACAACTCGTCTTCCATGTCTCGCAACTCCAATAGCGCAGACGTGTTCTCTCTGTTCTCCCTCTCGGCCTTTTCCAGCTCGCGCTTGTGTCGCTCCTTGATCGACAGCGTCCTGCCGCTGCCGAAATCGTCGTCATCCAGGTCGTCGGCTGAAGTGCTGATGAAGTTCTGGGTGCGGAAGCGGCGCATGTTTTGCGTCATTCTCTCGGCCTGTTTTCATGTCTCAGTTAGCACCCCTTTTTCTTCCCTTCAAGCTCAACGAGAGAGAAGACATACCAACAACCCAATAGCCTCCTCAAAGATCCTAAAGATATCCAAATCCCTATGCGTCGACAGCTCCACAAACGCCATGACCGCGTGCAAAACAATAAACGCTGCCAAATCCAGCGCGTTATCCGTCCTGCCCGTCAAGTCGCCATTCAACTCGTTATACACGATATTCCGCAAATCCGCCTGCTGGAACAACGTGCCCTCCTTCGGACTCGACTCCCGTTTCGGAAAGAACGTAGCCAACATATCATTATCAATAGCCCACAGCCAAAGCTGATCAACCATCAACAGTTTCCCGTCCTTAACGTCGCACTCAAAGTCAAACTCGGACTCATCCTCCGAGCAGGTATCGTCATACTCCTCCCTACTCGTACCATGCTCGCTCCCCTTGGCCGTGCACACCGACGTGACGGCGGACCGTCTACTAGGCGGGTCCACCGCAAACTTGTTGTTGCCCCCATAATGCGACTTATCGGTATGAGCCGATTGATCGTGTTTCGTCAGCTTATACAGCATCTGATCGTCATCCCTTGCGTGCGTGTCCTTGAGCGACGGGTAGGCGAACTGATCCAAAGTGCGTCGGCAGTTCAGCGGCGGGTCGAAGCCGATGTACTCCCATATTACTTTTAGTTCCAAAGAATCGAGGTGTTCGACGTACTCGGGCACGGGTTTGGCGCGCCCGTGTTCGAGTCTCTTTTCGATCAGCTTGCGCCGCCGGATGATGTTGCAGTAGGTGTCGAAATGCAGGTACGGCAAGTAAATGTAGACGCAACGGGGGCTGGGTAAGAGACTGCTAAGGCGTTTGTCGGTCAGGGGCGTGCTGGTGCTGGCGGTGCCGGTGAAGCTGAAGGGGGAGGAGATCCCGGGAAGACTGGTGTCGGCGGGGACGAGGCAGGCAAAGGGCTTGAGGTACGATGGCTGCGATTGGGCCTGGAGGCCTTGGACTTGTTTGGTTTGCCAGTGTTCGCGGCTGAGGAGCTTTGACAGGTTTTGGTTGCGGGTTTCTTCGATGCGCTTGAGCACTTCTTTGGCCCAGATGGGATTGTTGAAGGGCACGTGGATCCAGGTGATCTTCTTCTTTGCGTGATGGGCGGCACTGTGACGGCCAAGTGGAAAGTTGGCTGGGTGCATAAAGTCCGCTCCGACGGCGCTGGAGACGTGGTCGACGATCAGCGACGGGGCAGAGAAGCTGCCAATGCTGCTGGCGTCCACGTCGCTGTCCACCTCCGAGGACGGGCCCGTGCCGTCGTCATCGTCTTCCGTCTCTGTTACCGTTGCCGACTTGAGCGTAAAGGCCCGCGTGAGCAGATGGCGCTTGTGCTGGACTTTGCTCAGCCGCTCTTGCAGGAACGGCTCGGCTCCCTTTTGGAGGTACTGGCCCAGCTGCGTCTTGGTTGCGTACAGCCGCGTGCTCGAGTCCGATTCTGGGTCGGGGTCCTCGTAGAACCCGACGATTTCCACCTTGACGTGGTCCTTCAGCTTCAGCGGGTGATGGATATGCTTGCTGAGGCTCTTGGCCTTCAGCACAGCCTCATGCAGGTCCTCGAGGAAGTCGCTCATGGTGGAGATGTTGTTGGGTCCGAACGAGGCAATGTTGGCGTGGCTGTTGTCGATGGCAAAGACATCTTCCCTGGCCAGCTCGAGCAGCGCGGACTTGACCGACACCAGGGGGGCCGTGAACTTGACCTCGCTGGCAAAGTCGGCGCCCGCGTTGGAGAGCTCGCTGTCGATGGTCTCATAGAAGGACCAGATGCGGAGCTCGCTTGCAATGTCCACAAACTGCTCGTGCATCTTGTCCAACCAGGGGTTGTTGTTGATGTTGACCTTGATCTGGTTTATTATCGAGTTTGGTAGAGCCCGGTGCAGCTGGAGCAACTCGCGGACGCTTTCCCGAAGGTTCCTCATGGACATGTAACTTGACCCCCGATGGGGCGTGGCTGAGATATGTTAACACTTTGACATACTCAAAATTGCGGTGGGGAGGAATCATACCAAAGAAACCAACGCCATGGCAATTGTTCTTGATATCCCTGAACCGACTGTCTTCATGGGCCTTGAGCAAAGCTCGCTTGACTACCAAGCCACCAATGCTATGGGCGATGAAGAAGAGAGGACGAGACGGGCGCTATGTTTAGGTCGATCAGTCTTGGAACTTTCAAAACAAGCTTCAGAAGCACGTGGGTTCCTGGTCTTGGGGTTTAGGTAATATGGGAAAGTCTTACCACTCCTTGGCGGATTTGTAATACTTGCTCCAACAAGTCGGTTGCCAGCATGTCAATATTTATGCCTTCTCTCAGGCTTCGATGCCTGTACACCAGCACCCGTATCGAGGGGTCCTTGTTCCGAATTCCCTGTTGAATCCATACATAAGGGGGTCTCATGGATTTTGGCGTGCCAGGTTTCTCCGAAGAGCCAAAGTCACTTTCGGCTACCGGGTCGCACGTCCATGGATGAAGCGGTTCCGCACCGGGACACGGTACGGCGATGATGTCGACCTTGGTCTCATTGTAGCCGTGACCGCCAACATCACCGTCAATGACAGCCCAGCCGGGCTCGATGTCCTGGGCCAAAGTGACGGCACTGCCCACGGTGGGTTTGGTGATGTTTCGTAAGTTGGTCATGATGGGATGGCCTTGCAAGACCTTCCTGGTTTCATCACGGGCCCTCTCTTGTGAGGATCGGCTGGCAACCGAGTCTTGGCCGGAAGTTTGTTGTCGTCGCTGAGGCGGAAAGCCGGCCGCCACCGCCGTGACCGCTGCCGCATTCTCGAACTCGCCGGTAGCCGTCCCACTGCCGCTCCCCACCGTAGGCGGTCGGGTGGGCTGCCGTAGCGGTTCTAGCTCTACAGCCTTGTTGTCAGTGGAGCCGCTAGAGCCATTGCCGTCCATAATAGCACCGCAAAACTGTGCTGAAGCAAATCGGATCCTGGATGCCGGGTGAGAAGTCTTGTGTGTTGTTTTTACAGGTAAAGAGCAGCACGGAAGAGAGAGATGTTGCGGTGGCCAAGACTAAACAGAGTTGTGGAAGCAGACTTGGGACTATTTAGTAGGGGAAAGAGACCCCAGAAAACACCACGGATGGACCAGCCAGCAGCGGTAAAGTGCTGCCAAGATAGCTTGCCAAGATCAGCTTGGGTAGCCCGTATCAAGCGCGGTTCTTTCTTGGTGGCCATTTGACCACAACCTTGAGCACACCAACCGCTCACAACCAGTCTAGGAGAGGCAACCGTCCAGGGGGGTGTTTCTGACAGTAGGTGGGATTGGTCCGTAGGGGACGGAGATGGATGGAAACCGAATGGATCAGTGGGTCGTGAGGGCACCGGCAAAGCAAAGGAGACCACCGAGACAAAAAGGCATCTGTCGCAGACCGAGGGGGTTCTGGGGTTCTGGAAGGTGATGAGTCGTGTCTATGAATATCCCTGGAATATCTTTGGCAGAATCCCCTCTCTAGCTGTGGAGGGCCGGCCGGCGAGAAGAGAGCTGTCACTGGATGTCTGGCTGTGGGCCTATGGAAAAGGGTTTAGGTTGGTCGATCCGATCTCGAATCCATCCCAGGGCTTGGTCTTTACCGCCTTCCATGCCGCCCTCTTGCACCCGGTGTTGGGGACAACCGGGAGGGAAAAGGTGGGCAGCTGATGGACACTGATGAGCACCGATGAACACACCACACCTCGAACTGTGTGTGAGAGCTTGGTCACGACCTTGGAGTGCTCCGGTAATAACGCACCTGTTGCCCGCCAACTGTCGGGTAGTTGCTCATGTTGCTTGCCTGCGAGCATTCTTGCCTATAGGAGATTAGAATATATATTGAGAGATAACGTCAATGGAAGCCAAGCACAAGCCGAGCTGCCTTGGGTGTGGTCTAGTTCTTTGGAAATCGTCATGTGAAATATGGGATATGAGCTAGATGGTGCCATTCGGTTGGATTGCGTGAGATGTGATGGATGATCAGAAGAATTCCGTAGTCAGCTTGTTTGTTTTGTTTTGTTTTGTTTTGTCTGTATGTTCCAGAGATAGTTGCCTTGACTATAGGGCTCCAACAGGCAGTTGTAATGCCTATATAAGTGCACTGCCCTGTTTCTTGACAGGCCTATCCCAGATTGGATCGAACTGCCCTGAATGGGACGATGTTGATGTCGACATGTGCCTGAATGTGGGCTTCCGGCCGGTGATCAGGTGTAGAATTCACTGTAACCCGGAGTTATCAGATTCCTGGAAGAGAAGTCCAAACACGGTCAATGTCAACTTGTGAAAGGCAGGCATTGTACTTCAGTGTTCCTGGTTTGTTGCTCTCTCATTGTCACTTGTTGCAAAGTCATTTGAGAGTGGTTTGCTGTTCCTTTCAAGTCAACACCAACTCAGCTCCAAGTGATGGTAACCAGAGGCTGTTTCTGTCTTAATCCAAGAGATGCATTCATCAAGGGGCTAGGGCCCAGAGGGATGATGCCTGTGAAAAGGATGCGTTTGTAGATGAACTACGGACAGTTGGAAGTTCCTCTTTGTTGGGTTTCGTCAGTTGAGTTTTAGGCTGACTTTGAGGTTGTCGTAGAGACCTTTCAAGTGGAAATGGAAAAAGTTCAGGTTTATCATGCGAGAAGCCGCGAGAGCGACAACGGCGGCTTCCATTCCGACTCAATGCCAAGAGAAGCGCAACAAAGAGCTCTCCCTCAGAGGATATGTGCGCACGGGCCATCAGTCAGCTTGCCGTTGCAGGTGCCCTTGTCCTCTCCCCGTCGTCTTGCCTGCCAGTGGCCACTGCCCGCCTTCCCTTGGCCACCTTGGCAGCCCAGCCAGGCAGGCACCTCACCCGACTCCCCGAGAGGGCCGTGTAGAGGTACCTGTACCGCCCCGTACCGCGTTGACACAGGGCTGCTGCTGCACTGGCAGTTGGGCGGGGGACACCTGAAGCGGGACACGGGACGGGACTGCTGCGTGCTGAATAGGTGACCTGAATGCACCACTTGCAGCGCGGGCAGTTGTTCTTTCTGAGGAGTGGGAGAGAGTGGACCCCAATCCGAACCGTTGCCTTGCGCTGTGAAAGTCAGGTGGGAGTGGAATGCGCCAACCTCACACGTCGGAAAAAGCACAACGACGGGACCACTCCGGCCTGGAGCCAACCAGTGGCAGACTCTCCAGATTCCACTCCAATCCATCGTCCTTCTTTCTTCCCCCTTGACTTGTGATCACAACTCCGCAGTCCAGTCCCGACCAACATACCAAAACATAACCCCGTCGACGCCGCGCCCGGCAGCCCGCTACGTCCGCAACACACTTTGCCTAGTTCTCACTGTCGAGCCAGCCGAATACCCCGACCGCCGTCGAGACAGAAGACAGCCCAGAGCAGAGACCTAGCCCCTCGCGCCCGCCGCCGACAGGACTGAATTGACGAAGCCTCGCTCACCCGAACCCTACAAAAGTGACGGAGACACCTCGAGGCTGAAAGATATATACCTACGTACCGTGCTAGACCACGTCTCGTTTTCACGGTCAACATCACCACCATTACATACACCAACACAGGCACATACCGAATTTGTATTACATACCCAAATAGATCTACCATCACCACCATCAAAGTGAGCATACCTCCTGTCTATACTTGCTATTCGATCATCTTGGACTGGTCTCCCTCCTTTGCGCGTTCCCCTCCATACAACCTCCCCCTCCTCGCTTCATCTTTGCTCCTTGCTGGCCGTCACAAGCACCAAGCACCGGGACCACCACGACCGCCGACGTCCACGTCCAACTTTCTGCCGGAACAAGTCAGGACGGGACGCGGTCAGTCAGGCACCTTAAAGAGGTAAAGGTAGTTGCCATTCGTGGATTCCTCCCGTCTCTGCGGCTACGGCTACCAGGTATACCTACCTACTCTGTGCCTGCCGGCGTTCGTCCCGGAGCACAGGTACCACGTCTAGCCACTCAAGGCTGGCTACCTACCTCGTGTCTACCTACTCGATGGTGGTTCCACGACGCAGAACTTCTCCGTGCCGCTCCCAAACAATCCCTCTCCGACCTCATCTCCATTCCCATCTGCATCCACATTGTCATCAACCACCTTCGCAAGCTTCTTCTACCTATAGCCCGAGTGGCGCCAGTCACAGCAATCGCCCCCAATCCAAAAGTAGCCCCACCACTCAGCACATGTGGAAGCTTCCTGACCCTGACCAACTTCTTAGATATCCAGATTTAGTTGCTCTTGAGCAATCTACCGTCGACGACACACACACCGATCCCTCGCAAGTGGGACCCGAAACCGAGTTGTTGCAAAAAGGTACGCTTGCTGCTGTTGTCACTCCCGCATCCCGCATCCCACGTCCTGCGCCATCATCTCGTCACCGCGAACCGCGCCGCGACCGCTTCCGTCGTCCGTCTCCCTGCTGCCACAGCCTGCGATCGCGGCCAGCCTTGTGACTACTACTACCCTCTGCCTCGAGTCAACTGTATTGCCCCCAGCGCTATCCACTCGGCTCGAGCAACCTGTTTACAACCAGACCTGCCCGCAACGACAGCTGCGCCGAATCCTCCTTCGCACCCCCCCTCACTCCGTTATTACCACGCTCCCCGCCCTCGACCGTGCTGTCTATACACATGCCCCGAGCTTCGCTGACCTGGTCCTGCTCACCCTTACCAGATAGTTAATGAGAACGGCATGGAAGGGTTTCGGTCGTACTTTCAGCGGTTAGTGGTCGGCAATGCCGGCCAAATCTTTCCGAACCAAAAATGGCAGAGCGCCAACTCGGCCACCTACCACCAGCTCGTCACAGAGGTGAGGAAGCTATCACAAGACTTCGAGCAGTCTAGGAGGATTGCCGAGGCGATTGAGACAGGCACAGAAGACCTCTTCCGCGACTTTGACCTCTCAACCTTCATGGAACACTTCAAGCTCGATGCTTTTGAAAAGACGGTTCTGGCGCTTGCCTTTAAGCTAGGAAGCAAACCCGATCTCAAGACCAAGGGTAGGCCTTCTCCCATTGTCTCTCTCCGGCTTCTTTCGTGGCCTCGGCCCTTTGTTTGCTGACCTTAGATCCCTCCATCTAGCCGATGCCATCTTATCCACAAACTTCCCCATGTTTGGCAACATTCTCAGCAAACCGTCCGGCACCCAGACCACGCTTGGGCCCGATTTCATTGCTGGCTTGCTCGATCGCTTCATCCAGGTCCACCCGCCCAATTTCAACGCGGCAGCAAAGAAGGAGCTGGAGCATAATGTGCAGTCTCGATACATCCAAGGAAATCCCGATGCGAACCCGCTGCCTCCCTCTCAAGTGCTGGCTGCGCTTGACCTAATGCGACTATTGGCAGACCGACCCCCGAATGCCTTGACCCTCTACATCCACAAGACCGGCCGAGACTTCACCGAGAATGAAGATACATGCTACAACTACCTCCGGAATCGTCCGGCGAACTGTCAGCTGAGTGAGGAGCAGGTATCCCACACGCTCATGTATACGACCATCAGCCAAACTCCCCCGCACAACCCTTCGGTTCTTGTCGCGGCTCTCAGGCGTGTTCTGCCTGGTGCCTTTAGATGGCAGGATGTGGTCTCGTACTTTGATCACAGTGGTGCCCGCATCACTCCGCCCCAGTTTCTTCGTCTCTACAATGCTCTCCTGCCGATAGCGCAAGACGAAAGTCAGCAGTTTGATATTCAGCGGCTCTGGGGTGGCGACTGGGAAAATCCCGAGACGCAGATGTCCTTCACCTGCGCCTTCACCTCACTGCTGCCCGAACAGCTGGACGCCACCACCATCCCGGGGCTCAAGCCGACCTTCACCTTGGACGACTATGCACAGGCACCGCAGATGATCCGGGAAACGGCCGCATATGCGGTCAGACATCCCTTGATCTCCGAAGCGGCCATGTCCGCCATCTTCAACGTCGCCCTCCAT